CTGCTTTCAAACCGCAGCAATTCAAAAGACAACTTGCACGCTTTCACCTACATCCTGCTCTGTAACCCTCCCCCAGAGCGGAGCCGATATAAACGCCAAAGACATGCTGAAGATGACGGCGCTGCACTGGGCGGCCGAGCACGGGCACCGCGAGGTGGCGGAGCTGCTGGTGAAGTACGGCGCCGACGTCCATGTGCTCAGCAAGTTCGACAAGACGCCCTTCGACATCGCCGTGGACAGGCACAACTCAGACCTCATGGCCTTACTACAGGTAGGCGTGGGAAGGTCATGGCGAAGCGAGCCGGGGGGGGGCTGCCGGACCGTGGGGTCCCAGCGATCCGGGGTGGCTCTGGCGCAGCAGGTTCTGGCGGGATTTCGCTGAGAGCGTGTTCTTCCGGGTCACGGCCCCTCGCTTCACCAGAGAGCCGGTGAGCAGTGACGGCGGAAGAGGGCCACTTCGTTCTTTAACATTTCAGTCAGCTGGATTTCTTTAAAGGCAAATGTGTGAAAGTTTGGTGGCTGGAGAGAAGCAGCTTTTTTTATGTTTTCCACTTGTGTATTTACATCCATTGGAGCAATGAGTTTTCCCGAAACTGGTGTCAGTGTGTGACTGTACCGGTGTACGTGTTTTTCCACTCTGTTTTGTCCTGGTTTATAGCTTGTTATTGTTATGGTTATACCTTTCGCACTGTAGGATGGGGATCTGTAACCCTGGTCCTGGACGTTTTATAATGGCAGCACACAGACGGAAGGGTGTTAACTCCTCCTTATTAAGCAGCTGACATTGCCCAGAGCTCATTTGCAACGCAAGCCAGGAGACATTTGGTTCAGGGCCAAGACTGCAGACCGTGGCTCTAGGTGCTGAGTTCTCCATCTACTCCATTAAAGGCTGAGGGTTTTATTACAGCAGAAGTGTAAATGTCAGAAAGGAGCAAGTCTATTTAATGTGTGTATAATAGAAGAGCAATACGACGTGGTAAGTCAGAAGCAGAGCCTGGCACATTGAGGCAGGAGCTGACACTAGACGTCGTCTGGCTGAATGTTATTGGGACCCACTGGGGGGTGAGCAGCGGCCGTTTTTGTCCTTTTGGCCGCCACACTGCGAAGCAGAAGCGCTGCCTGGCTGCCTGTTACATCCGTCTGTCTGTTCCAGCAGGAAGGGATGCATAACCAGGTGACCTTGAACCCAGAGCGATCCCTGCCGGTCAGCACGCCCGTCACCATCACCACTCCCCAGTTCATCCTCTCGTCGGGAGGGGTGGTCAACCTCTCCGACTTCGTTTCTTCCAGCACCACCAAGACTACCTCAGGTCAGGGGCCGGGGGCGCCCGCCTTCGCACTGTAGCGCCAGGTAGTACAGACCCTGAGCTCTGGACCGCTGTGGGGCGCCACTGGGGGAGCCCTGGTCACGTCGACCGGCGCTGGGGCAGGAGTTTACACGACTGCTCCTCGAGAGCGTCGGCGCTGCAGGGCTTTCTAGGTGTAGCAGTCAGTCAGCACTCGGATCTTCCTAATCACGCAGCTGATTGATGCAGCCATGTTGCTCATGGCTGGACTGGAATGAAAACTGGGAGCCGCTGTTTAGAACTGGTGCAGCAGACTTCTGTCCCAGCGTCGGCACTGGAGGATTATCTGTGTGGCAGGACGATTGTAGAGGGTGTAGTAGGTGCCTCGTGCTTAACTGACTTGTTATCATTCTTTTGAATAGACAACAACTGTAACACCCACTGACTATAGTACGATATACAAGCTTTTGACATAGTTCCTGATAAAAGATGAATTCTAAAAATGCAGGAAGTAGACATTCATCGTTTTTGGGGTGAGAACTGGTTAATGTTCGTGGGTATTAAACGATACAGATAAGGCACGCGCGCTCAGATTGGCGAGGACAACAGTAGTCTGTACTGGGGTCACCGCTCTTCCTGAGTTCTGTCAGTGATGTAGATTCTGCTGGAGTTAATAAAATAGTCAAGTTTCCAGATGAGAGGATAGCTAAACAGGAGGATAAGAAAGTTGTTGTTACGTAGCGAGAACGAAGCGCATGGTGTCACATGTAAGAAACATATATATAGAAGATGGGGACACACAGAGCTTGGAAAAGCAACATGACATAGGCTGAGCTCTTTATGTTGGAAAAAGCGTTTGAATCTTTTAGGTAATATGAGGAAGCAATAAAAAGGCAGGAAAGGCAAACAAAATGAGGGAACTGAGTACGTGGGAATAGAATAAGTTATTGTGGCTTGGTGTTGACACAACGAAAGGGTATTCAAAGTGGATACCTCTTTTGCGCTCATCAGAGTTAGATAGTTGGTTCTGATTCAAATGCTGCAAGAATCCCCAAAGGAATGAACGGCAGGCCCTTGATCAATTGAAAAGCTGCCATCGAGGTCCTCTCCCTCGAGAGTGGTTCCAGTGCTGCCGGTTTCGTTCCAGGGGATTCGACCGTCTCTACCACCTCAGTCCTGGCAACACTAGCAGCTTTGGCCGAAGCCTCCGGACCGATGTCCAATTCCAGCCGGCAAGGTGAGTGGAAGATGACTGCGATCGCATAACAGGTTAAGCGATGAGATTAAAATCTTTCAGCTGCAGTGCGCGGTAGCTCTTCAGCTCCTTGTGGCCCAGCTCAGTGCTGTAGATCAGGGCTGTTCTGCCTGTTGCCCTCCTGCTTGCAGTGTCACGGGGCTTTAGTGTAACCAATACAACGGGTTACGTATTTTCATCTTACGTGTTTTTGTCTTCCATCTAAACAATATAGGTAAAGCAAATTCATATAGGGAAAGAAATCGCTGTGGCCTTTTGAAGCTAATGCGCAGGTCAGGTTCCTTGGAATCTACTTCATTCAGTGCTTTGATTTTCTCCCTGGCATTAACTTTGATAGTGCCTTGATGCATGTCCTTTTCCCTTTTTGTTTTTTTCTGCAGCCAATCCCTCAATCTGATTCTAAAGTATTTCATTCTGGCTCATTTCACAGTCTCAGCAGGCTGACGCTGATGCTGATTGATTTTAGCATCTTTCTGTGGTAAACTGATCCTTCCAACATCTCACCACCTTAAGTTTACAATGTTACATTTTTTTCAAAGTCTTACTGTAATAGATCACATTAATCTCTTAAGACAGTTGGTTTATGCACAGATCTTATTCAGCATCTCGAGCTGGAGTCAATGCACTCTTCTCTTGGCAAGTTAGTCCCTCAAATGTCCTGATGGATCCTGTCACAGGTTTTCCTTTTCTCCCTGTAGGGCCTCTCATTCAGTGTGTATAATTCCTGTGCTTCCCAGGTGATTCCGAGGAAGTGATCACGGCAGACTCGGTGGATTCGGCCATACAGCACATGGTGGGTGGTGGAGGTCAAAGGGTCATCACCATAGTAACGGACCAGCATGGCAACCTGCAGACCAGCGGACTGGGGCAGCAGTTCATTGTCACCATGCAGGACGGGCAGCAAGGTGAGCTCCCCCCAGCCCCACGCCTTCTGTAGTTTTTTTTATTCCTGCACTCCTGAGAGTGATGTGGGATTTATGCTGTTCTCGGGTCGGTTCCTGAGCCCTGGATTAGATTCCAGGCTCGTGTTTGTCCCCGTGTTTGCTTGGGTTTTTGCCAGGTGCCTTGTTTTCCTCTCGCCTTCCAAAGGCCATGCGTGCCAGATTTTATGGGTTTCTAAAAATACCCCCTCACACACACACCTGGGGTTCATTTCCGTGACGGAGGTGGCTCACTCTTGATTCAATTACTTGCTTAGTTTAGGTATCCCTGGAGCCCTATTACTGCGTTAAAGACAGTAGAGGAAATCCAACATGTCACAGCAACTCAGCTCTACCTGTCGGTGGAGCTGAAAGTTACTTCAAGGGGAACTGCAGTCCCAATTTCTCAGACCAGTATTTTAATCATGTTAAAAAAATTAATTAATTTGCCGGTATTGCCAAATTTGACAAATTCTGATTCCAGCACCAAGTTGTGAGCTTTGGGAAAGTACGGTAAGTCGCCATGGTTTGGCAGACTCCTGCTTGCGCCACGCGTGATGGCGAGCGGTCAGGCAAATTGCACAGTGACGCTGCCCTTCCTGTTCGCTAGTCACTGTGATGTAAGGCAGTGAATAAGTACATGTTGTGCTGCAGACATTTCACCCCTCCAGCGTGATCTGCACGCAGAGTTAACAAGGAAGCTGTATTGTTCAGCAAAACAGTCTCAAAGTCAAGAGCAATATTTCTTATTGGATTAAAGGAGATGTATTCTCAAGCCTGTTTGTTTACAGTATCATATGGCCGCAACACATTGCCGGAAGTTTTGTTGCCTCGTTCTCAGTCGCAACAAAACGTCCAGGAATACCTGGACATGTGGTCTTATTTTGTAGTGCACATTGGAGGTTTAACACATTGCTGTGTATATTTCACTTTCATTGTAGTTTGAAATGCACTCATCAATGCCAAATCTTTCTAACCCCGAAATATAAAAATAGTCTTGCAGTTCCCCTTTAAAAAAACACTAAGTACCATATTTCCAATATTTAACGCAAACCTTTCTATTATTTCCATTATTCTTTTTTTTTTAAAAAACCTGAATGGCAAACCACAAGTTAGTGATTATGTTTAAATCTTTCATCTGGAGTGGGCAAGCTCCTTGCGGCCAAGCTCAGTGCTGTAGATCAGGGCTGCTCTGCCTGTTGCCCTCCAGTCTGCTCTGTCACGGGGCTATAGTGTAACCAATCCTAATACTTTGGTCCTTTATGCTTTTTAGAATAGCATAGAATAAGCTGCATCAAAGCTCACTCCCAAAAAAATGCTTTTTTTTTCAGCATGGAATAAACCTATTACTTGTTCCTTTGCAGCCTACGCCTGCTGACGCAGGTCCCCACCTGAACTTTGGTCCTTTAGTTGTGTTTCCATCTTCCTGTCAAGTAAACTGTTACGGGGCTGGTTGGAGCAGAGTGTCTCCATGGAGTGGACAGTGGAGTGAGCCTTGATGCAGGTTATTCTATTAAGGGCAGCAGGTTTTCCTGGTTATTATTATTAATGGTGAGACGCTCTGTACAAAAACAACAGAAAAGGCAGGAGTCACTGTTCTTCTATGGCTTTAAACGCACCAGAACAGCTTGTTCCTTCCAAGTGCCCGCTGGCAGCGCCAGTTGTCTGGTGGGTTTCCTGTGCTCGGAGGAGGAGGTGTTGAAACGCTGTGCTGTGTTGTTGTTGTTGCTGCTGCCGCTGCGTGTGCGCAGTCCTGACGCTGCCGGCCGGACAGATCAGGGAGGAGGTGGTGGAGGAAGAGGCCCAGCCCCCGCCGGCCAGGAAGAGGAAGCTGGACCCAGCCGTCAACCACGCCGAGGCCAACGACAAGGTCGGTGCCGAGTGTGGAAAAGCAGGCAGCAGCCAGGGGTGCCATGGGGCGGATCGGAGCTGCCCGTCTTTCGGGATGAGCCGCTGGCCTGCCGTGCGGAAGATGAAAAGATCAAATGTCACCTGTCTGGGTGAACACAGGGCATCAGTCTTGACTTCAGCTGTCAAAGCAAGAAAGATGACATGCGGTCTAGTAGAATAAGGAGGGCTGACTTCAGTCCTCAAGGACCAGAGCCCGGCAGGATCTACAGTCATCTTAAAATCTGGAGCTGCCTAAGATCTAAAGAAACACACAAATTTGCTCATTCAGATATGGAGGTGAACCCGGAGGCCTGCATGCCTGAGCAAGACTAGAACCTAAAGATTATAGACTAGATTAAAGATCATAGGAGCTCCACTCCCCCCCATCTTGCCTGTTTGTTCTGTAGCACTTTATTGATACAAGGTTCTCCTCCGGCTGGTTCTCAGCTTGTCTCAGTTCCCACTGAGCTGCCGAACCCAGGGGGAGGGAGGGAGGCCGAGGGAGGGCAGACATGCCCCTCTGTGGGATCCGGCCTTTTAAGATGTTCGGTACACGCCGCCAGCTCCAGAGAGCCTGCGGAGAGAACTGCGCTGATTAGAGGAGCGGTGCGTCTGGCTTGAGACGCCAGTGGGACATGCGCCTCTGTGCACTCTCACTGGCGCGGTTTCTCCCATAAGGCAGTGCAGAGCTTGCAGACTGCTAAAAACAGGAATGTCTCTGACAGGAGGACACCATGGAGGAGCGTTGCCATGGGTCCTTATTCACTCTGTGCAATACTGGAACCTTGGCCCTAAAGTCTTACAGCTGTAGTGCATATACTATAAAACTGCTGTTATCAGTTAATAAACTTTCTGTGTTGGATGACACAGGGTGGGATATTTAACAGTTCAGGTTTCTGTTACTTTCTTTTTGTAGGCCAGGCTCTTATAGAACATTTTCAGCCACTCTGATGCCCTACTGGTGGGGGCATCAATGAATATTGAGCAAAGTAGAGAAACAGCTCCTCTTTCTAGACTGGTTTCTGGCAGGCAATTGTGTAACACGCCTGTCCTGGATTCTTTGCATTAGCTTTTGACTTAAGAATTCAGTTTTTACCTTGCAAAGCAAGGACATCTCTCCTCTTTACAGCAGGGTAAACCACCTTTGATGCAGATCTTTTACATCATGTTAGGTTTCAGAGCCCAAGCAAAGTTTAGCCTGGTCAGTAGTGGGCTGGGAGATCCTGAAGGAATACAAGGTCTCTGCCTTAAGTGGTGGTATTGGACCAGTAGGTGGTCCTGTTCCACCTGGATCAGAACTTCTGGTCCATCATTCAAGTATGGGACACTGTACTGTAGTAGATGCTGTCCTTCAGATGAGACGCTAAAGCTGAAGTGCGGATTGCTTGATCATTAAAGATCCTAGGGGCCGTTATTCCTGTGTCCTGATAGAATTCCACCCTGGGCTTGCAGTCCTTTAACAGATTTAAGCTTACCCCTTAATTCAGCGGGTGAAGCAGTCATTTGGATCCTAATGTCTGATCTGGGGCTGTGGTTCCTCAGATGTGTTAAAAGCCGAGCGGCTTGGAGGTGGGCGAAAGCGCTCGGCGGGGAGAGGAGAAGGGCCCAACCACCTGTGCGTTCTGCTCTTGCCCCCAGGAGCCGCCGGCGGAGGTGCAGAAGGACAGCGTGGAGAGGGAGCTCCTGCAGAAACAGCTCCAGGAGGCCAACCGCAGGGCCCAGGAGTACCGGCAGCAGCTGCTGAAGAAGGAGCAGGAGGCCGAGCAGTACCGGCTCAAGCTGGAGGCCATGGCGCACGTGCGGACCAACGGCGCCGCCGAGAGCCAGGGGAAGGAGGACCGTGACGGGGAGCGGGAGGAAGAGGAGGAGGAGGGAGAGGGAGAGGGGGAGGGCCAGGGCCAGGGGGTGATGGTGCTCCCCGAGGGCGCCATCATCATCAAGGCGGAGGAGCTGGACCCCACCGAAGAGGAGGAGGTGACGCTGGTGGAGACTGTGGAAACCACGCCCGTGCACAGTGAGGTGAAAGTGCTCACCATCTAATGCCACCCAGGACTGCTCAGGCAGCCTGCCCACACCACTAAAGTGTTCTGTTTGTTTTTTTTTTTTCTACAAATAAATATAAGTGTACAGAAAAGCCATGTGGGATGAAGATAGGGGAGAGGACGGGGGAGCTGGGAGGAAAGCAGTTTTTGGACCCGTGCCCGGGCTTAGAAGAAGTTCTCTTAACCACCAGGACATGGGTTAGTGAAGGAGTTCGGAAGATCTGGGGACAGTGGAGTGGGAGGCCTGGATTGGACGGAGAAGGACTTGTTCCTGTTCTCTGCAGGGGGCTGACAGACTGCGGGCCTGAACAGCTCATCCCATAACCCCACTCTTCCCCGCGTTTCCTCTCCCCCTGTCCTGCCAAACACCTCTTCTCCAGAACAGCCCCCCTCCTTTGTCACTCAGTGTCGCTGCAATGCCTTAATGTTTTGCGGAAGCCCAGGGTGTTTTCATTTTGTGAATTGTATTTGTTCTGCGTAGTTATTTTCTTAAGGATGTGGAGGGATGGGCTTTTCGCTCTTCTTTCAGACAAACTCATCCAGACACGAGCTTTAGCAGGAGTCGGGGAAGGCAGGAGCTTGCTGCCTTTCGCCAAACACTTTTTTACGATAAGATCAGTATAAAGTTTCAAAAGCTTTAATCTAGAAACATGGAGAAAACCATTGAGCTACAGAGCCATCAGGAGAAAAAAAAAGAACACAAAGGCTTGTAGTTGTCTTATTTCAGTGGCAGTGTGAAGTCACTGCACCTCTGAAAAGTCATGGTCGTCTTTAAACCTCTTTGCACCAATGAAAGCTACCTAGCTTGTCGGCTGTGGAGCCGTGATTGCAGTTTTCTGTCCCTGATGTTGTGCTCTTGCTGTAAGGCTTCCCTTCTTCTTGAATGACCTGCCGCCCCGAGCGCTGCTTCGAATCCCTGTCTGTGTGGCCTCGGGGTCTGAGATTCTTCCGCCATCCTGCTCTCTCTTCCCCAAACAACGGGAGTGCCTCGACTGCCCGTCTCATCTCTTCTCTGCAGAAATGATTCGGGGGAGCAGGACGTCCTTCAAGGAACATCAGTCGTCCCTCTACCACCTTCGTCGCTCCTACACGAAGTCCCCCAGTCTTTTGGTCTCTTCGCCTTATTCCAGTTTTTGTCTTATAATTATCGGAATTAGCCCCCGTTTTCATTTCGGATGGAAAGACTGACTGTGAATCGGAGAAGAGGTATCCGCCGCCTCGTCTCCGCTGAAGATTGTCTGCCACCTCCTTTCGGTTCCCAACCCCTTCCGAAGACACAACTGGTGGTCCACCTCGGGCTCGCGATACATCCGCTTTGGAGGATCCGTGTGCTTCTGGAAGTTTTAACCCGCCATGCGTGCGCCGGAGGAGCTGCTCCACGTTGCTCCGAGCGCCGTGGTAACTCAGGTGCGTCCGGTCGATGGGCAGGGCGGACGTCCGATGCAACACAGGGTAGTTCAGTCGACTCTCAACAAGAGGTCTTAGCTGCTGGGCTGCCTTTTTTTACCCCAACAAAATGCAGATACTCAACGTGTGCAGGAACAAAGGTTTTTTTATTTAAGAGTATAGTTCCCTTCCTGATTTATGCAGTACACCCCAGTCTGTAGAAAAAGTAAGTGGCCTATGTTTTTTGTATGTAGGTATGGAGACTTGGCTGTCACCTACATTTTAAAAGAGAACTGACTAATTGAAATGAAAAACATTGGAACTTTTCCTTTTTAGCTCTGAAGTGATAGTGAATGAAATCTTTATTTGCTATACAAACCTTACTTATGCATACTAATGTGTTTTATATATAAGTGTATGTATCTGTGTTTTTGGTGGGATTTTCTTTCTTATCCAGTTGAATTCACCAGTCATATGCCTTTCTCGTTAACTGCAAGTGAATTTTGTACTGTGGAAAGATTGCGTATCCACACTATAACCAGCAGGTGGCACTACACATCACAAGCAGTTCACTGGTAGAAATGGAAAGTTCATTGACCTGTTGAGAGTTTTATTTCAGGTTTGCTCCTACGCATTGTTTTTTTAAAATAAAAATGTCCTGTTTTAGTCCCTGTTGGAAGTTTGAGGAAAAGTTTAATCAGTATTTTTTTGATGACTTGGCATGATTTAAATAATTTGGTATGATTTGGAAATTGAAGAAAAACGTTTTGAAAAACAGACCCATGTAGTCTGTAGAGGAGGTATGAGTGGCACAGGAGGTATGTACTTGAGTGGAAACGGCACTCCTTCTTTCATCAGGAGTCCAGAGGCTGGATGTTAAGTACTGGTAGACTGTATTATGGATTTGTACAGTATTTTAATGCGCTTCACTCCAGTCAGATTTGGAGCCAATGCCTCTGGTTTAGTTTAAGTGTGAGGAATGGATTTGGAGCTGATATCCTGAAATCACTGTTCCAGTGAAGCGACGCCCAACTGTTACAATCTCATTTAGTTTGCATTTCACAGTCTGAGGTTTGGTTGAACCCTGAAGACCAGCGCAGGTCCAGAAATGTGACAGGACTGCAAGGTAGCGAGGTAGCAAGTTGTTTATTTTAAAAAGGGACATCAGTGGGATTTATTTCTTTTTTATACGTTAAGAAACACTATCAGGGATTGTCTTCCACACGTTTTAAAGAAACGAAATATTGACAAAAAACAATGTCTGCTGGGAAAGGAGGGGGCGGGCGGGGGGGGTTGTGATAAAAATGTAATATAGTAGTTTTGTAAGAAAAACAAATGTTACTTTTTTAAGAAAAGGTTCAAATATTTTTTAGATTCCAATAAATATGCACTCATTCAAATGAAAACCCAAAGCTTTTTGTTTTGAGTGTTGTTTTTTTTTATCAGTGCCAAAGCAGTGTTGTCCCCCACATCTCAGGGCCGGGATTTCTAGCAATACCTGTTTTCCTGTGCTTAGCGCTTGCTAGTAACTGATTTTCAGCATTTGTGTTCCACACCATCACTTACGGGCGGCACCGAGGCGCAGTCGTTGGCATTGCTGTCTCATGGCGCTGGGGCCCTGGGTTCAGCTCTGGACCTGGGCCCACAGTCTGTGTGGAGTTTGTTCGGGAAGTTGTGATCCAGAGGGTGGGCCCTACTTGACCACGAACACGACTTCCAGCAGCAAACTGGTTTCCGTCAGTTGGGCTTTTATCCCAGTACAGTACTGACCAGGTCCAGCCTGGAGTAACTCCTGAGATGTAGTGACATCAGTAGGATTGCTCTGCGCCTGTGGCTGGAAGGTTGCCGGTTCAAATCCCGCAGCCGGCAGAGGAATCCTACTCCGTTGGGCTCCTGAGCAAGGCCCTTAACCCCAACTGCTCCAGGGGCGCCGTACAATGGCTGACCCTGCGCTCTGACCCCCAGCTTCTCTCCCTGTCTGTGTCTCATGGAGAGTAAGCTGGGGTATGCGAAAAGATAATTCCTAATGCAAGAAATTGTAAAGGCTTAATAAAGTAATGTTATTTAGAGGTGTCAAAACCCGTTCCTGCAGGACCACAGTGCCCACTACCCTTACCTCAAAGCACTTAAATAATCAAATCTTTTTTTCCTTAATTGGGCTTGTATTTTTAGATTTCTGCAAGTGTCATTGTTTTTCTAGCACCTGATAGCATTAAAACTGTCAGGGGTGTTGAGTCTGGATACAGTGTCTGCAAAACACATCTTTTTTTTTTCCAGCCTGGAGGGAAGTATTACATTTCAGTCCAGGAAATCAGGCAATTAGACTAATTAGCTGGAAGCCTGGATGGAGCAAAACCCAGAGGACATCGCCATCCTCTGAGAGTGATAGTTTACACCCCCTGTTCCGCGCGTAGCTCCTGGTCCTTCCGACTGCTGTCCAGAAATATTTTACTTCCCCTTTGAGGCGCTAACAGCAGTCTGGTGTGCCATTGCTTGCTGTTAAACACTTGTTCCATTTTGCAGCAAAGCCCCAAAATGGTTCGTAACAGAACCAGCCCCAAGGGAGCCTGGAAAGCATTTTCTTCAAGCAGAGCCTCATTTTGCCACCAGGTTTGTCCTGCAGCTCGGTTTTCTTGGGAGAGGGCACAGTACAGGAGAGTTTAGCTGGGGAGCGTCTTGCCCCGGAATTGCAGCACAAGATGTAAATCCGTGTGCAGAGGCCTACGATTACAGCGGCTACAGGGGCGCAGATCCCTATGATCTTCCATGCCGTGGAAAATCGGGAGCAGCAGCGGAGTATGTCTGCGCTGTGTGGCTGTAGCTGCGAGGCAGCAGGGCTTCAGGAGGCGAGGGCTACTGTTTCAGAAGCACCATCACTTCCAGGCTCCCATTCGTATGTCTCCAGCGTTAAAGTAAAGTAGCTGCAGGGGGTCACTGTTGCCTCTAGACTCAGCTGGTTTAAGGAAAAATACATCGGAACAGGAAAGATTTTACGGATTTGTTCTTCCATCATATTTTGAGATTATTTCGTGGAAGCTTGTCTTGAAAAGGCAAAAGAGGACACCTCCCTCCCCCCCCTTAGGGACTTGAATAATACAGAATATTCACATCAGTGGACTTTTGTTAAGCAGCCTTTTAGAGAACTGGCAGATGTGCTGCTCTTACATAAGGCTTGCTGCTGCTTAAAAGCATGTGTGAGCAATATTTTCCTTTTGAATGTCGGTGCGGACTGCTGTTAGATAATCCATAGTGAAGGACTTAAAGTCTTAATTCCCTATGTACTCTTTTTATGATCCGTTTAGATTTCTTCCTACAGTGTTATGTGACACTGCGGTTTTAAAAAACAAACTTTCACGAAATGTACAATTGATGTTTGTTTTTCTTTTGCCTTTCATCTTTTCCCCCTTGTCCACGAAGGTGTTGTTTTGACACATGATTCCAATGCATGTTTTAAGCGGTTCGGCTGCAGTCTTGATAACCATGCTGAGCTACAGTACTGGATGGACGTAGGCGAGCTGGATTTCTACCAAAAGGTATGCCGGTGTCTCGTACTGAACCGAGCAACCTCCACCATTCTCCACTGCGAGGGGGAGTGCTGTAGCCTGATTGTTTGAAAGAGTGGGGCTGTAACCCCACAATCCTGGCTGAACTCCACTCTGGGCGGCTCAGTCTGACCTCTCTGAAATTCCCCTTTAATTCCCTGGCAAAGTAAGTTCTCATTCCTCCTCCCCTTTCGCTGGTGCAGAATGGCTTCTCTTTCACCCAGGGGTGGATGCAGTGGGTCTGCTCCTCTCTGTGAGCTTTGGAAGCCTTTGGGATGAGAGGCACTACATGAATATAGAGAATCTTACATGTGATACATGATACATGTGAAAGCCATGTTCCAGCCAAACGTCTGCTTGCTTGCAGAAGCCTAACACAGTGTTCAGCAGTGCCAATGTTTGTACACACCAAAACATGGTTAGGTATTTCCTGGAGGTGTGCTCATTCTTTATCTTCTTGGGAATGTGAAATCCATCCTTTCCCTGCTAACTTCTTCCCGCTTGGAATAGCATGATGTGACGAACACTTGCAGCATATCTGGAAATCCCTGTTTTCTAAGGATCTTATCTGCCAAACAGACATAACAGACATAAATCTGCCCAGACCCCCCGGCGCAGCAGCTTGATCATATTTGTTGGGTAAGTTGTGTATTAAGTGATGCGTTTTAATGACCCTCTACACTTCAGAAAAGGAAAGGTTGCTGTAGTTTTTTATTTCGGGAACGTACCGACAGCGGAGTCAGCCGGTCACGTGTCTGGCAATAAATCGCACTCATACTCCGGTGCTCCTGCCATCGGTTCAGCGGGCTAAGAAGCGAGGTGGAGGGGGGTGGGCGGTCGTCGTTGTGATGTTTCTTCTTGTACTGAAACACAAAAATAAACCCAGCCAACATTTTCTAAGCGAAAGGCTTTGAGAGAGACAGGGAGAGAGGAATCGTCTAATTAGGGTTCTCACTTCTCCCCTGTCCCCTGCCCACCACAGCTGCCATCGCGCCACCCCCGCTCTCCATACCTGATGATGCGTATTGATCTGCGTCTGATTCACCATCTATCCCCGTCTCGGGCGGCGCTCTCCAGGGTGCTGAACGCAGGAGTGGAGATGGAGCTGTCAGCCCACTCTTAAACAAGAGCGAAGCCCGTTTTTTACCCAGCTGACAACAGGTGATAAAGATGGATGAAAGGGAGA